ATTATCCTTCCCTGCAAACACTCGCAAACCTAACTCAGCCTCTACCTCTGATCCATCCACTTTGCTTGTTAGACGTTGTTGCCTGTTATTCTGCAGTGTAACCATAAGAGTACATCTATAAGCTTGATACCAGACTTTGAGTAAATACTATTCAAGAGGAAAACTGAAACATTTAGACTTCCTTCTTGCAGTGAAATTAAACTATTTGTGCCAGAAAACAGAGTTTCTGTGAGTAACATGTATTCTGAATGCCTTTTCTCTGTTTTATTTGGGATTTAGTGTCACAGCTACAGCAGCCAGCATCGGGGCTGCAGGAGTGCCCCAAGCCGGACTTGTTACCATGGTGATTGTGCTGAGTGCCATTGGCCTGCCTGCCGAGGATGTTACTCTGATCATTGCAGTTGACTGGCTTCTGTAAGTTTAAGGCACCTCATATTAATTATTTTTCCTTTTTCATTTTCCTTATCTTTTTTTTTAATGTTTTCATAAGTTGCCTAGAAATGTGTGAATCTGAGAAAGAAAGCAATAAAATAATTTAGTTGCAGAAAATGGACAAAGATTATTCTTATGGCCAGGCTCGTTCAGAGTTGAATGCAGTAATGGCTTTGTGAAAGAAGTCCTGCATGGGATGGCAGTGAATAACCTCACATTCAGAGATGCTTTCTGCCTTAAAGCAGTGGTCACAGCACTAACAAATGATGAGCATCATCCTCAAGACAGACAAGAAATGTCTCTAGAGTGTCAAGAGATGCCACCACATTATGCTAGATACATATATCATTCATAAAAATCAAATGTAGCCACAAGCTGCAAAGCACATAATAACCATAAACTGGCAGTGGAGCACAACATGAACAAAGCAAAACTGACCTTGGATTCCACATGCACACATATAGCAGGCTGTACCCAGATCTGTGCTGCTGGCCCTACTTTGCTAGGGCTGTTCTTCATTGAGAACACTGGCCCAGCCCTTGATCAGCAAGCATACATCTAAATTTGGAAAGTGATTCTTATGCCTAATGCAAACCATATCAGAGCACTTCAAAACATCTCAGTCACATTCATCTGCTTTTTCTGGAGAGAAGCATTTTCACCAGAAATCTTTTCTGTTCAAGTTACACCAGTGTGTTTCTCTGCCACTTTTGCAAAAGCCCAAAGAAACACAGAGTGTATTCTGGAGGTCAGAAGGCTGTCAATACTCAGTTTTGTCCTATGATATATAGGGTAACAGGATTCACAAGTTAACAAGTATAACTTCAGTTCTTTTGCCTCCTAAACTATGTGAGTTTAGTGGTCAGCCCAAGGTCTTTTTTACCTGCAGTTCGCAGGGATGACATTTCACTGGTATCAGTCCAGTGATCTTAATAATTTCATATTTGCATGTCTTCTTTAGGTTTACTTACACTCAAGATAAATGCCTTGCTGTTCCTCCTCTGGGCTTTCAAATAATTTTATTGAAGGACTTCTGGCAGCAACCTATGTAATGCCAGTCTCCAGGAAATCAGAGCTGTTGTATGGATGCAAGAATCAATTCCATTTATGTATAAGCATAATTTCTCCAAAGGAACCAGTTCCATCCACAAGTACATTCTCCCAGTCAGCTGTCTGCAACAAGGTCTAATAGTTTGTTTGCTGTGCTCCACAGTAATTTTGTTTTCTCCAGCTCTCTTCTATTCCTAGTGGGCATTTAATGTTTTTAAGGATAGTGCAGATTAGTACAAACCGCTGGCTCAGAGCAGGTATCTAAAGAGTCTAAGAACAGCACAAACATATAATGGTTCCTTTTTCCAAAGTTTTTGCCCAGCCTCCTGCAAATTGCAGAGCAGAGAGTTCCTGAGTTAGAAGTGATTTTTGTCTTCTTCTTCTATGAATGCCTCATTGCTTTGGGACCCATGTTTCCACAAGTCCTAGGGAGATGAATTCCACATCCTAATGATGCAGAGATATAATTGAATTTTGTTTGTTTTCATCTCCACCCTAATAATTTCATTGGATGTCCTCTACTTACCTTATGGGAGTGGGAGAGAAAGAGAACAATACCCTATTTCTCAGAGTGATCATGACTTTATGGATCTGAATTTTACTCCACTTTAGAAGTCCACAGCTTTTGTGGGTTTTAGGCACAATATGAGTACATGGAAGGCACTTTTTCCACTATGAAACATACAAATAATTCAAGATGTTTCTGGTTCTAAACAAGGCATTTTTCAGACTAAGATGTGTTTTGCTGTGTAAATTAAATTAAATAGAGTAGTGCTTTATAACAGATGAGTTTCCAGTGCTGTTGATTTCCTCACTTGTCACACTGATCCTATTAGACTCTTTACTGTTCTCTCTTCCTTTCCCTACCATATATTTTTGTTGCACATGGAAAACTTTTTTAGCACTAGAATTCAGCAGTTGTAGAAGTATTGCAAAATACTGTAAATATATGCACCTCAATGTCTCTGCATAGCAAGAGAAACTTCTTCTGCCACGGAGCCTTTGTAGTGCTCTGTAACTGAAAAGAAAAACAGGAAAGCATAGCCTTCCACTCTCCATACCATACTTAAATGTTGATTTTCAAACTTTGTTATGTTGCAAGGGTTTGTTGTTCCTCTGTCAAGTAGCAGCAGGTTTTTAAGGCCTTCATGTCACATTTCTGTCTGGAGAAAAATCCATAGTGCAGGAGTATCATATTCCTTTTAATGACTTTTTTAGTAAAGGTTTGTCCTTCAGCCCTTTTTAATAAGGAGAAGATAGCAGAAGACAGGCCTTTCCCTTTTCCAGGTTTGGGCCAGAATACTGGACATACTGGGCTAGGTGTTCTTCTGGTGAGGACATGACTGTTAGAATGACAAAAGGCACAATGCAAACTCTCCTGCTGCACCCTACAGTCTATCATTACAAAAGGGAACCAGCTTTGTAGTATACTTCAGGGGCCTGAGAGGTGTTCCTTCCAACATTTTGTAAGGCTGTGCCATAGCAGTGGAATTACTGCTCTAATAGACAAGTGACATGACTTGCAGTTTTGCATGTCCTACACAAAATAATTTCTCATTAAAATTACTCCAGTCTTCTTCAAATACCTGTGGGTAAAATTCTGATTCTTGTTTTAAAAGACTATTTTCTTTAATTGAATAATTACCCAAATCTGCACAGGGAAGAAAACAGTGCTGCATGAGCTAGAGTACCTTCCTTTTACTAAAACAATTTCCTAAACAACTGAATTGTTTGTCTGTCAACTTTTTTGTTCCATAGGGATCGATTCAGAACAATGGTGAATGTCTTGGGAGATGCCTTTGGTACAGGAATAGTGGAGAAGCTCTCAAAAAAGGAGCTGGAGCAGATGGATGTCACCTCTGAAGTCAACATAGTCAATCCTTTTGCCTTGGAAACAGGAATATTTGATAATGATGAAACACAGGCCAAGAAATCTTACATCAATGGAGGCTTTGCTATAGATAAATCTGATACCATATCCTTCACACAAACATCCCAGTTCTAAAGCCAGTAGCTTTCACATAAAACAGGAACACTAAGGGACATGGCCATATGCAATATCTCAAAAAGCTTAAAGGAAACTGAGAATTAATTACATCTCACTCACACCTGATTTACCACACAGACTCTGATTCTCCTTACCATGCCCCTTCTCATCATCTCCCTCAACAGTATGAACTCACTATTGTTAGTCCTTACTGATAGGCTGAAGAAAAAGACAGTTGTAAAATACTTTTTTTTTTTTTTTTTTTAAGAATATATACTATTCCTGAGGCTGTGAAATGCCTCTCTGAAATCAGCATGCTCATAAATGGGTCATTAGCTGGGACAGCTAAATGTGTTTTACTCAGGATTAGCACAGCATTTTACACATCACCACATCACAAAGTACCTGTATGAAATCCCTTTTTACATCCTTGCCTTCTAAACAGGTTGCACAGTACTGGACAACTCCTGTAACTTGATCATTTGCCAAAATGCTAATTTCTGCAGCTGAGGGGATACTACTTGCGTGATTCAGGAATAAACAGACCAGAAGAGCCTTGAAATAAGTACATTGTACTTTGAATAGGGTTTAGTTTTTATTCAATTGTGAAATAACTAGTCACTGAAAGAGGTCCAGTATTTATGTAGCTAAGTTTCCTCATACCTTTCATGTGAATGAAGGCTACTGGTATTGGACTCCAGATGTGAAATAAATTGCTCTGAGCTTGCTCTTCTGGCATTTGAAGAGTTTTTGTAAAATGATACTTCACCTATTTAGGTCAACTTTGGTGGCCTCCTCGTACATTTCCATCAGAAACAGAAGTCCATTTTCTGTTGTCCACTTACGATTTTAACAAAATATTAGTCAGCCCAAGAGTAAGAAGAGGTCATGGAGACAAAAGTGCAGAGTGCAAATTCTAAATGTTTCTTCCTTGCAATAAAAGCAGATATATCTATATATACATATATATATATATATATATATATATATATATATATATATATATATATATATATACAGATATATATATAGATATATATACATATATACACACATATATCAAGAATGTAGGAACAAGACCTTTCTCATAGAAAGAAGCCACTTTCACTAAACTTCTTACACAGACTGTTGGGGTTTTTTGGCTCTTTGGTTTAGTTTGTCAATTGAACATGCAAGTTTATAGCTGCAACACCACTACAGTGCCAACCTGTCAGCTAAACTGTATCTTATGAACCATTTCTGGACCTAGAAAATCATGTCCTCAGGTGGCTTGCTATAAGATAAGAAGCACCAAGAACTTCCTCATTAAAAATCTCCATTTTCTATAACATTTTATACAAGATTTCCATGGTGCAAAAATCACTCTCTCAAGGGAGGAGTTGCTGTAACAATTTTTTCTTCTGCCTTGCACATTGAAGTAGTTAGCCATTTTATATATAAATTAAACTGAAATTCATATATTTCTTTGTGTTATTTCTTTGTGAATAAGCTTGTGGTAAGCATAAAATCACATTCATTTGCTAACAAAAAACCCTCCAAGTACCTGCAGTGTTATTAACTCTATTCAATCCTACACTTTTGTATTTAAATAGACCAGAAGTGTGCCAAAGAGAACTGATTAAGAAGAAAATATTTACTGTAGATTTTGATAAATTGCACCTTAAATTTATGAGACATAATACTGTATTTAAATTTAACATCATAAACTATATGAAAACATTAATCTAAGTACTGGTAAATTTATACAATATAAAGAAAATATACAGATTGAGTAAATCAGTCTTTTACCTTTGCAGAAACAGTATGACACAGTCTTTATTTGTGCAGCTTTGCTTATGGGAGGAAAAAGCCTACCAGTTTCCATGACTCACCTATAATCTATGCCTTGTCTTTAGCCAGCTTTTTAAGTCACCCTTTTATGATCACCTTATTATGTAGTCACCCTGTTAATGATGTATTGTGAAAAGTGTTCCTAATGTGTTATAAATAAATAATTTCTCTCTTTACTCTTGTTTTAGCCTACTACCATCTCCTTAAGAGTTCTTTCAGCTATAACAAGAAAATCAAACCCCATCAAATTCAGCATTTATGTTATTGTCTCTAGTGATTTAGCTGTAGTTTTGGCAAGAATTACTCTCTTCCTCCAATAATACAGATGCTTAAGAGCAGAGTGCTCAGATTGCAAGAAACCCCTCTAACTACAGATGACCTGGATTTGGAGTATGCTATTATTAAACACACACTAAGCAGGTGATTGTTTACCTATAACTTAAATATTTAACTGCTCACATTCAACTGAGCAGATGTTGATGGTATTGTTTTGCCATCTACTCATCTACTACATCTACAACCAAGACACCAAAGCATATGCTGAAGATCCTCTTAAGTCCAAGGATTCTTTTCTTGACACAGTATTGCAAGTATGTACTATCTATATATGTGGAAACACCCTGCTTGAGCAACATCTCCTCTTTTCCATAAGTCTCTTGGTCTGGAAGATTTGGAGAGTGGTGAAGAACCACTGTTAGAAAGGCATCTGCAGATTTTGGCTCTTTACACCATGTTGTTATGTTCTTGTAGGGGTTTTGGGGCTGCAGAAGCTTATCACAGGATTGGACTCTGCATTTTGAATAGTATTTGTGACTTTAATTTAATTTGACCTGGAGGACTAGGTTACCCACACACCCATCCCTGCTGAAATACTCAGGGACTTTTAGCTGACTCTTAACTCTGAACACAGAAAGCGCTTGCACATAAACATACACAAGTCTGTCAACACACACAGGTCAGCTATATCAGATCCACAAGATCTAAAATTGCATAAAAACCATCGTGACGTATGCAATTCACTTGTTCTTTCGTATTCTCTGATATGAACAGAAACTGACCAGTGGTGCATGGGCAGGCAGGAGGCAGCCAGTGGACTTCCATGCTGTGACACCACGGGATCTGTGCCCTCATCCTGCCATCACCACGCAAATCCCTTCTGCATCACTTGCCTCTCACAGGGTCACAGTCTTCAAGGTGCTCAGTGACCGACGGGAACAGGTAGCCTGGTGACCTGCCCCAGAGCCATGGGAACCCTTAGCCCCATCTCAGGGTACTGCTCCTAGCTGGAGACCTCCAGTGAAGGTGGGGACTTCCTGGGGACAAGGCCCTCTGGGTGCTGGTATAGGATCCTGTGAGGTCAGGGACCTTCAGACTCTCAGGGGATATGCGATTTGAGGGTGATGGGCAGGCGACATCCCCACACTGAGGCGGCCCTGTTCCCAGCTCCATGGCCCTCTACTCCCCACAAATGAACCTGCTGTATCAGGGTCAGGGCCATCACTTACAAATTTCTCACCAGAGGAGAGGTGACTTATTTAAAATTTGAGCTGGAAATCCTGGTTATGTCAAAGCAGATCTTAGGTACAGCTGCCTTCCCACTGCATGTCACCAGTGGCAGAGGGACTAGTGGGAGCTCTGGGACTGAATGTAGTGGAAGCACTAGGATGGGGGAGCTGGGCTGGGCATGCTAGGTAGGACATGCTTGCTGGCAGCCTGGGAGGGCATCCTCATTCCATGTTCTCAGTGGGCACTGGTAGCACTGAGATGTGCTATACTGGGAGTCCTAGTGTAGGAGTACTGGCAGCACTGGGCTGAGGGTACCGGGACCACTGGAATGGGCCATACTGGAATGGGAGGCACTGGGGGCAATAGGAGCAGTGTGTTTTGGGGTGTGGTTTGGAGGCTGGATGTGCTAGGGCAGGCATGCTGGGGGAGTATTTGTGGTCCATGGTGGATATTTGTGGGCCATGAACTGGTTTTGGGGACTATTTGGGGGCCTAAGGACCATGGGGCAAAGGCTGCCCCACAGAATGGCCTTCCCCCTCCATGTCTGAGCAGTGGAGGTGAAGGAGGTTTTGGAGTTCGATGTGATGCTGGAGTGGGAGTCCCCTCAGGATAACAGCAACTCCAAGGGCACACACTACACTGTGCAGAAGGTGATGGGGAAACCCCCAGCCACTGCCCCCCAGCTGCCTCCCCTCAGAACCCCCAAATGATGCTTGGGTCCTCTTCTGGTTGTGAGGGGACAGCCTGGATGCCAGTGCTCCACTTCTGGCCTTGGGGGGAACCCCAGACACGTGGGTCTCCTCCTGGTTGTGAGGGGCTGCCCAGATATCTGTATCGCATCCTGGTCCGGAGGGGCTATCTGGGCATCTGGGTCCTATCCAGAGGCATCTGGGTCCTATCCGGAGGCCATCTCAGGGAGAGAACACCAAAATCTGGGTCTCTTTCGGGAGATGCCCAGATGCATGTCTCCTCCTGGCTGTGGTGGGCACCCCAAACACCTGGGAGTTTTGTGTTTTGGGGTGCCAGCTGTGCTCTGTCTCGGAGGGCCCAAGGAGGGACCAAGTGTGGACAAAACCACCTCTCTTTGCTGCCCCCACATCCAGCCTCCTGGGTCCTTCCAGGATTTTGGGACTGACCAGAGGGTCCCTAACTCAGGCCATGTGTCCACGTGTGTGTGTGTCCAGGCCTTCCACTGAAGCCCTTGAGTTCCAGCATGACCCTTGCTTGGCCCCATGGCTCGAAGCACCGCGGCAGCTGAATCACGGCCCTCAGCTGCAGCCCAAGGGGGGGCGACACCTGAGGGCACGGAGGGGGCTGGGGTACCCCCAGTGCTGTCCTCCCACCCAAGGTAGAATGCAGATGGAGACCAAGGGGAGCAAGGGAATTTTGGGGTTCCTAATCACGTGTTCCCCCAATCCAAGTGGCTGAAGAAAAAGGGGGCCATCAGGGAGGCCAGAGGTCCCTGGCCCACCACAGCTGCAAACATGGGACTCGATGATCTGTAAGAAGTCCCTTCCAAGCCGGCCTCTCCATGACTCCGCCACAGCCGGCTGCCAGGGCCAGGCGTTACCTGGCAACAAGCGACACCACAAACACAGGCACGTGCCACCGGGGCTCGGGAAGGCAGAGGAAGAGGAGGAAGGAGGCTGCTGGCTGCCCACGTTCCTAGCTGCAGCTTCCTTCCGAGCAAGGAGGAAGGACAGGTGCTGTGTTTTCGGGCAGGGCAGCAGCCATGGTCTCCGTCAGCCTGTTACAGCTGCTGGATGACGCCATCGGGAAGCCCGAAGTCAATGTCAACTTGGAGGCGCTCCGCAGACTGCTGAAGGTCATAGTGGAATACCTGAGCCTGCTGGGTCTGCAGGAGGTGATCCCCGAGGAGGGGGCCCAGGAAGCCGCGGCCGCCCCGGGGCAGAGCCCCGGCCCGCAGCAGGAGGAAGGCTGGAGCGGCGCGGAGGCGGGACAGCCCTCCCAGCCGCCGGATGAGCTGCAGGAGACCAGGAGCGGCTCTCCTGTCACCTCGGTGGCTGCCGACATGGGACAGATGGAGAAGACTGAAGCCAAAGAGAGTGGCATCTCCAAGGTAGAGGCTTTTCCCAACCCCCTCAGTGCTCCCCCCAGGACGCCCCCTCCTCTGGGGTCTGTGCCCTTATACAAAGGTTTGCTTGAAGCCCAAGCTCCGAGCAGCATGTTGACTTTTTATGTGGGAAAGGGGCGGGGCGGGGGGGGAGATTTGGAGGGAAAACCTGGGGCTGAAACACAGCTCTGGGAGCTTTAGGGCCTTCCCATGTTGGGTCTTTTCCTGCTGACCCAGGGTGTGCCATAGGCTCCCCCAGAACAGGAGTGGGAGTCTCTGGGGAGCTGCTTGCCTGGGGCTCACCCCCACCACCTGTCTCTCCTAGGCCACTGCTCTCTCCCAGGAGACCCACAGGGAAATGGCTGGGATTAAGACCATGCAGCTCAACATGGGAAAGGAAATCCAGAGGATCAAGGAGTCACTTGGCCAGGTGAGCTGCCAGCATCAGCATGTTGCAGGTGTGAGACAGCAGCCAGTGACCTCCCTGTGCACCGGAGGTTCAGCTGCAGCCAGCCATGCCAGATGAATGGAGAGTGCAACCCACAGTGCCCAGCTATCTGGCTGTGCTCCACAGACCATGGTGCAGGCAAAGGTCCTGCAGGTCACCAGCAACCCTCCCCTGAGGTTCATCCCCCCTACCCTCCTCTCCTAGACCACAGATCTCTGCAAGGATCTCTGTAAGGAGATCAATGAGATGAAAGCCACACAGTCCCGCATGGGAGAAGGCATCCAGATGATCCAGGAAGCACTTGGCCAGGTGAGCTGCTGCCTTTGGGAGGGAATTGGGCCCTCCCCACCTCCGTGCCTCTCAAGACCTTGCCCTGCCACCCTTGCCTTGTGTCCATGGGTGTCACCCACTGTGAAGGTCACTGGGATGGAAGAGTGGGAAGTGGGTCCTGTGAGGGAAGCGTGGAAACACAGCCTTGCCCACTAGGAGGCCCTCACCTCTGCCTGCAGATCAACCTGGCTGAGGCAGGCAGATGTCACTACCTGCCTCAGCCACAGGGTTGCTGAGGCACTTTGAACTAAGCAGCCCTGAAAAAAGGGAAAATGGGGAAGGAAAGGAGGTAAAGATTTACCAGTGCTTGGCAGCCACAGCCCACCCAGAGTCTCTCTGGCTTGGGTGCAAACTCACTTGTGGATGCTCCTGCGTCCTGACTGCAATCCATCTTCTCACTGCACTCCAGGGGAACATCCAGGATGCTGCTGGCCAGCCACTGGTCTTCCACGACCAGCCTGCCCCTGCCAAGCCCCACACTTCGGACATGGACAAGCTAGGGCAGAGCCCTGGTACCCAGAGCACCACCCCTGGGATGCAGACAAGGACCCCCAGTGCCCAAAGTGGCACCACTGGGACACAGCTTGGTTTGCAAGCAGGCCTTCCAGCTATGGAGAGCATCCTCAGAGACCTATCTGAGCTCCAGGGCCAGATGTCCTCCCTGCAGAACCTGGTCCGAGACCTGCTGGGTGAGAAGGAGAAGGTAAGCTAATAGCAGTCCCTAAGGGGGCTGCAAGGATGCCAGGGAGAGTTGGTAGAGAGGAGGCAGGCAAAGGAGACCTTGGGGTCCATGCCCTGACTCTGCCACTACCACCCTTCCCAGATCAGACAGCTGCAGGATGCCCTTGGAAAGCTGGGTGTGACTGTACCTGAGTGCAGAGTGGATGGCACCAACGAGATCCCCCTACAGCTGGAGTAAGAGGATGGGGAGAGGATTTTGTATCCTACGGGCTGCAGGGGAACCGGGAGGTATGGGGGGTGGCAATCCAGGAGCATCGGGTTTGGGGAGCAAAGCTCACCTCCCAGGTGGCCTTGTGGAGGCTCAGCCTGCCTGTACCCTCATCTTGTTGGTTAGGCCTGCACTGCTAGAGATTAAACAGGAGCAGAAGGAGCTGAGAGAGGAGCAGAATATTACCAAGGCCACACTGAAGCAGCTGGTCACAGCTGACCAGCTTCAGGAGCAGGTGAGGTTTGGAGGCCGTCTGGGCACCAGGTTCTGCTGGCAGCATCCATTCTATCTCAAAATCTATTCCTTCTCCCCTTTCTGCAGCTGAATGAGTTGAGGGCAGTGATGGGGACTGCAAAGCAGCAGCCGGGAGAGTCACACTCAGACAACAAGCTTGTGAGGAAGCTCCTGCACCGCTGTGAAAGGCTCCAGCAGCAGGTGGACTGCCTGGTGCCACAGCAGGTGCAGAGGTCACTGCCAGAGAAGACCCAGGTGGGCAGCTGGCAACATAGAGCGGGGACTTGGGAGGCTGTATCAGGATGCTCTGTCTGTGCTCACTGTAATGTAGAGCAGCCCCTTGCTGACCCCCCAGTTTGGACGGGTTGGCAGTATGGCAGGAAATTAAAGCCTTGATACAAATGTCCGGCTGGCGCTGAGTGCTCATGGCCAAGTAGCCCAGATCTGTCCTTGAGGGTAGCCAGATCCCCCTTGCATGACACCATCTTGTCATCTTTCTCCCTGGAGCAGGAAGAGGAGCTGCTAAAGAGCATCCAGGCCACTGTTGTGCGGGTGGAAGGGGACTGCGAGCAGCTCGGCTACGTCACGGGGAGCCTCCGGGATGACCATCGCCAGCATCAGAAAGATATCGAGGTTGGTGACTGGACCCCCACAGGGTCAAAGTATCCCCCAGGCACATCAAGGCTGGTCTGATCACACAGAGGTCTGATGCCCTGCCCACCTGCTTGCAAGCCCTTTGTTGGTTCAAATGGCCTTTCCCAAAGAGCACTGGCTGGCCAGAACACAGCTCTGACCCTGCTGTGGTGTCATGAGATGCTTTCTGTATTGAAAGGCTCTGTTCCGGTCCCTGGAGGGTCTCGAGAAGAAAGCAGACAAGGAGGACCTGCTGCTGCTGGTATGGTCTTGAGAGGTCCATCTTCAGCCCAAGCGATCTCGGGCAGGGTGACAAATGCCCTCTGCCCTCTGGGTGTGCAGTGGCAAAACTGGCCTGGAAGGGGGAGGGTGTGAGTACTTCCAGACTGGCTGCAGATCCCTTGCCAGGTCCCTCTGTCTCCCTCTTTAAGTCCCTTTGACTCCATGGGGGTGACGGGTAAGCAGGCCACACAGCCCTGAAAAGGGCACGATGGCCCCCCAGGAACATTTCTGCCTCTACCCCCAACACATGCTGGCCCTGCCTCTTGTACCTCTGCCCTGTCCCCACCGCTCTCCTGCCTTTTCTCCCTGCTAGAAAGTGGACAAAGCTGCCCTGGGCAGCAAAGTCAGTTGCGCCCATTTTGATGAAAGCATGGAGCGTCTGGAGGAGAGGATGCGGGAGTTGCTGAGACGGGTGATGGGTCAGGAGCAGCGCTGGCAGGAGGCCCAGCAGCAGTTCCGTGATGTCCTGGACTCCAAGGTGAGGGATGCTTTATGCTCACGGTACAAAACTGGCTCCTTGGGGGCTTTGCAGCCCAAGGCATCCTCCCTCTGAGGTTTCCCCTTCTGCTGGCTTTTCCCTGTGGACTACCATGTTCCATCCTGGAGGAACATGGTTAAGGGTGTGCATCTTAACCATGGTTAAGGGTGTGCATCTGTCCACAGCTGGATCGCCTGGAGCTTGGGCCTTTCCAGAAGCAGCTAGAGGATACCTGGGCAAAGACCATTAAGGATCTCAAGGATGAGTTGACAGTAGAGATTGACGATGCTGCTGGAATTAAGCAGTGAGTGCAGTGGGATGGTACTGGCTCTGGCAACAGCACTGGCCTCATTCTTTCCTGTATGGTACCCTGGCATCAGAACAATGTAGCCAACAAACTCCAGGAATGCTGACAAAGCAGCTACACCTTCTTCACCCATCAAAGCTCCCCGCATCAAAGGAGGCACAAGAATGGGCATCTGCAAAACAGAGCTGTCCAAACCAGAACTGGGTGTGGGTGCAGAGGTTCAAGGATGGAGAACAGAAGGTTGTTTGCCTGGGCAGGGGTGCAGCACATGGTGCCACAAGCCTCAGTCATGACCTGCTCACCTTGGCAAGATGCAGGGGAGTTGTGAGCGCTGACAAGGCGATGACACCAGGGCAAGGGCTTGTTTGGATAGCGGTGTGGGTGCCTGCACCCTTCCCCTGATATTCCTGCCTGCTCTGGGCAGCTATGGGCCACAGCCACAGTTCAGCAGTTCCAGTGCTGCCAAGGCACACTTATCTCCTTGTCCCCTTGGGTGGGAAGAAAACCAGGCTCAACATTTCCACAGCTCCCCCTGCAAACATGGAGACTCCCTGCAGCAATGTGCCTGGCACCTATTGCTGCCTGTGAGCTGCTGTCTGTGTGCACTGCAGCCCTGTCAGGAGCTCACCCAGCCCTTTCTCCCTTAGGCAGCTGCTGGTCCCATTCAAGTGCCTGTCCTGCGACCGGCAGTTCAACATGCAGGTGCCTGGCGCGTGAGTAGCACCCGGCACCGGTATATTGGGGGGCTGTGTGGGTGGGACAGGGGATGGGTGCTGGTGATGCCCTGCTGTCTCAGGCGCTCTGGGGTTAGGCGCTCCTGAGGGGTCTGGAGGGTCTGATTCTGCTGAGCCACCTCTGAAGCCATGTCTTTCAGATGTGGAGTGTTCCCTCCACAAACACCTCCCTAAGGGCAGCAGGCAGAGGGGTGCTGTGGGGTACAAGCCAATGGGTTTTGGTGAGCTGCCCCAAGCTGGGGTGGCTCATTTGTCCCTTGTCACCCACCCACGGCCCCTTCCCTGTCCAGGCACATTGACACACTGCCGCTCCTTCCACCGCTGCCTGGCAGCCATGCTGCACACCCCTCTACCATCACCACAGAGGAGCAAGCACAACAGCATGGTCACAGGTAGGGGACATGGGGGCCCATCTGGGATGCTGGGATAGTCCTGCCTTGGCAAGGGAGATCTCTGTCCTGAATAGGGGGCAGAGGAGGCCAGGGGGCTTGGGCAGGGTAGGGGAGCAGAGGGAGCCATGGAGGGTGAGCTGTACTTGCCCCAGGTGTCTGGGCTTTTAAAGCCCCTACTGCACTGCTCAAGCCCTGGTCTCAGTGGCACTGAAGCCACATATTGTCAGTTGTATCTGGTCTCTGCCTGACCTCAGGCCTGGTGGGGACTCGGCACAGTGGGACAGGCATGGGTTTCCTGCAGCAGTTGTAGGGGAGTCAGCAGGGACGTGCGTTAGTAGGGAGCACCCTCTGCCCCCCTCTCTGGCACAGTGGGATGAAGCCCAGGGTACCACAGTGCTGGACAATGAGCATCTCCATGCCCCATCCCTCAGGAAGCTGGTCAATAGCAAGTTCCTCAAGTCACAGAGCAGCAAGGGTCAGGACACATCTAGTGCACTGCTCAAGGGTATCCTACACCTCTCCAAAAAGGTAAGGATGGTGAAGGGAAGAACATCAGGGAGGAACAAGGCTGGGAGAGAGATGCAGAGCATCTCAAAGCCACCCTACCTCAGTTTCCTCAAGGAGAGATGGGGGGGAGTGTTGCTTGGGAATGCTGAATTGAGCCCTACATTGCAGCCAGCCATTTTCTCCTTCCCAGCCTGGCGTGACTGAACTGCTGGGCACAGATGACTCCATGGATCAGGGCCAGGAGCACAGGCCTGAGGTGGCAAAGAGGGCACAGGATAAGCTGGGTATGGCCTGTCAGGACACCAGTGCTAGGGGGAGAGAGCACCAGCTGTTTGCTGGTGCTGGGTGAGCAGAGCTCTGTCTGCACACCTGGGCAGGTGCAGGGAGGGTCTGGGGCAGGCTGAGGAGCGGTGGAGGGAGGGTGGAGGGGGGTGACTGGTGGATGGGACAACTGGTCCTTGGGTGTGTTCAAGATGGAGTGCAGCATGGAGATGGCCCTGGCCAGTGTGGGAAAACAGCCCATGTGTTGGAGGGCAGGGGCCAGGACCCCATCCCTGAGGGTCTTTGGCCATGCAGATGCCCCTGGGCTTCAGGGAGCTTAGCTCTGTCCTTCATCTCCAGACCTCACCACCTTAGAGCACCAGCCAGCTTCAGAACTCAAACACTGATCCCGGGCACTGTAGTATTTGCTGTAAATCAGTCCCTCTGGATAGAACCAGCAGCCAGGCAGCTAGATGTGACTGGATGCTTGGAGCCCTGCATGAAGAAAAGACCGGGACAGCTGCCCAAAGGGATTTATTTTCAAGTTAATAAAAAAAATTTAACCTGCTGTGTTTGAGATATTCTAAGCAAGACTGATTTCAAAAGTAACCCCTCGCTTCAGAGCTGCCACCCTAACCCTGGACAGGTGCCACAGGGAAGGGCGAACTTTTGGCGGAGACAGGAACAGCAGAGCTTGGGGTGAGGCCCCAGACTGGGTCATGTGGGCATATGGGGGGTGTCCCTGAGCCAGGTGGAGGGGCTGGTGTTGCCCCAACCCATGGGCTGTGGAGGTACAAAAGGTGTAGTCCCTGGGCTGTCCCCCCACGCATGCTGCTGGTGCCCCTGAACTGAGCTTTGGCGAGGCTGCAGCAGCGCCACACATCTAGGGGGAGCTTGAGATGAGCCCGAGCAGCACTGCTCCCTCTCCCGCATCAGGCTCAGGGCAGGGTTTAATGTCATCATCATCATCATCATCATCCATGATTTACACTCTGGGTGAGGAGTAAGCTGGAGCACCTCCTCGTGGCCTGGAAACCAGAGTGTGCCTTCCTGACTCTCCTCCCAGGACACTGCATTCACAGCATTAACCTGCTCTTTACAGTGGGCTTGGACCTACTTTGAACTATCAGTGTCCTCCTGCTTCTTGGCACCATTATTTTATGGCCAGTCACATCAATCACTGCTGGTCAAACAAAAGTGCCAGTATAAAGAAGGTTCATTCTTCCCCTGGGCTGACTGTTGAGTGCAGACATGAGAGTGGTGAACTCTGGCCCCGATACAGCAAAAGTGTGCAGGGGGAGCAGAGGGTGATGGAGCTGCTATGGGCCCACCTCAGCATGGGTACTTCACCCACCCCTGACCTGCAATACTGCATGTCATCTGCGTGCCTCAGAGCTCCCTGACCTCCCTGGGTCCCCAGCAGTCCCAGAGGTCCCTTTCCCCCTAAGTCCTCAACCACCCATCCTAGATGTCTTTGTTCTCACAGATCAATTTCTCCCTGAATATCCTCACCTCTGGCTGTCCCCATTCCCTGGAGGGTCCCACCTGGGGCAGCACTGCAGTGTGGCTCAAAACCACCTTGTTTAAGACACCAGTCCCAGGTTATGAGTGACACAATAAATCACTGAGCTCAACCAGTTTATTTAAAGACAAAGTTCAGTGCATACTTTTTTTTAGTTTGGTGAGTTTTTGTGTGGAGGATTTGGGTGAGCAGCAAAGCACAGCTAGGCTCACCATAGTTCCAGGGGAAAATTCTCCTTGTGGGAAATTCAGGTCTAAAACACGGGTCCATACAGAGTGACTATTTTACAGAATAGAAGGCAAAAACTAAAATCTACCCAAAATTCAGATCTCTTTTGCTTAACCCAGTGCTCAGCTGTATTCATGCTGCGGAGGCCCTATAATGCACTATAGTGTTTCATTCTATGGTTTAAAAAGGCTCCTTTTAGCTTAAATAAACCCTCAGATGTGGCTTTTTGGAGAGGATTTTGAGCAGTGAAGGGACTTAGAGGGAGAAACATCCTGCTTTGCTTCATTCTGGGGAGAAAAATCCTCTTCTCAGAGCAGAAGAAATTATAAAATGGAAAAAAATTAAATGAAATTATGACATTTTATCCCAACAAACTGGGTAAGAAGAGGGTAAAAGGCCCCTGGAGGGGGGAACTGGGCAAAGTGGTGACACATGAAAAACTTAAGCCTCCCCTCCCGCCCCAAGCAGCATATAGGTTAATTCTGGAAGGGTTTAGGGATATTTTTGGAGCTGTTTCTTCCCCATGTCCACTGCTAGTGCTGAAAACAACAAGTCTTATTTTCACTTAAAAGGGGGCAGTCTTCTCAAAAACAAAGGGATTGGGGGTCTATCAACCCTCAACAAAAACAAAGGAGTTGGGGAGCACTTTCTCCTCAAGGCAGCAGCGCAGAGGTCACCATTTCTTTAACAAGTTCCTCCCTGATTTGGGGATTTCTTCCCTGTGGGCATTGTTTCAAGGTGGAAAATCCCCATCTCCCACTGTGCTAGCTGCTCCCTTGGGGAGAAGGCTCAAAATGGAGCAAACATACCCAAAACCAGATGATTGAAAACAGACAACCCCCTAGTTTGCACTGGAGCTGTATTTTCTGCCTTCTGGATATAACAAGCTGCTGATTTTAAAAAGTGCATTTTGATCTCCATTTTTATAAGCACCTACCAACACCAACAAATTATTAACAGTTGATAAAAAGTTGAACAGTTGTAAACCCATCCCCAAAATCCACCTCTTTCCACTTACAGTGGACCTCAGTGAGGAGCAGGAGAAGATTAACACACCCACCATAGTGGAGGGCTTGCAGTCCTCACTCAGGTTTGCCCCTGCATGCCTGCTGCACTTCCCTTGGATGCACAGCTCCCACTCAGTCTGATCCTGAGGTGTTAAAGGGGCAGCATGGGGAGAAGCAGGAGGCAATGGCTAAAACTCCCCTGTGGGAATGCTCATCCTCAAGCCCCAAAACCCCACAAATGCACCCTGGGCCCCAGCTTTGTGGGAAAAAACTTCAACCCCTGGGTGGAAAAAAACTTCCACCCTTGGGCAGAAAAAAGCTGAGTCCCTTCAGCTACTCCCCACAGCCTCTTTCATGGGCTGGTATGAGGTGTGCCTGTCACTCAGGAGGGTTTTGTGGTCCAAGGGTCCATGTGGGAGGGCTGCAAGGTGCATCTGCTGGCACTGCTCAAGGACTGGGGGCTGTGCACCCTCCACACCCAACTATCTGCCTCCCAGCTGCTGACAGGACACTGTTGAACTGCCCTTGAGGAAAAAGAGGCTGATTTCCTCACCACCCCAATGCTGGAGAGCCAGCTGTGGGGCTACTGAGTAACACAGAAAGGTAGGGGGTTTTGTTGTTTATTTTTTGTATGGACTTTCAAATTAAATATCCATAAAGCTTTTTAGATGAAAAGTGGATGGAGTGTTGGAAGCTCATCTGTTGGAGCAGGATGCTGCAAAGAAGTGCTTTGCTTTACACATCACTGGACCTTGTCTTTCAAGGAAAGACCAACCTCACCATGAGCCAAACAGGGAAAAATTAATTAAACAACTGAGCAGGGCTGTAATGTGGGTTTAGCTGTGACATGTGTTTTATCAGGGCCCTTGTCTAAAATTAGGGTCCCGAAGATAAAAGTTGCTGCCTTTCCTGGTAGTTTCTCCTCTTTCCCTGACCAAGGTGAATAGTGCATGTGGATGGGGAGTCAATTCTGGCAGCAAAGGACTGGGACTGCAAGAGGCAGAGACCTGCCCAGTCCCGTCTGGGCTTGCTGATAACAGCACTTTATCACATGGCTGAACCCTAACAACAACCTTCTGCTGCTTCAAGATATCGGTCCATTTTGTTCCCCTTCTATTCACTTGTGAAATGGGGAATGAAATTCTGTCTGTGGTCTCTCTCCCTGCTTATATCCTGGCAATGAATACAAAGCCCTGAAAAGGCCCAATCCTGAGTGATCCTGGGAGCCATGAAACATGGTTTTAACCCACTTCTCCTAAATTCTCTACAAATCCTAAGTAGGAAAGTTTCTACTTGCAAAACCTTATTATGAGACTCTTATTATTAGCAGCACCAGCAAAGCCCATTTTCTTCCTCAAGGTGAGTTTTTAAAAATCTTTTAGGGATGTTCTCCCTGTTTTTCTGGTCCATGCTTCCACTGACAAACAGTTGAGGAACTAAAAATACCTCTGTTCTCCCACTGAGAAGAAAAAGAGTGAAATATGATTGTTAAACTAGATGTTATAAGGAAAATTAAATGGGGCTGGGGGGGAGTGGGGCTGTTTGTTGTTGAGTGGAGTGTTTGCTGGGGTGGTGGAAGTGTTTGCACTTGGGAGGTTCATAGTGGATTTTTGGGGAACTCAGGGACAGAAGGCAAAGCTGGCCCCTCGCCCAGTAAGAGCAGTGGCCAGAGCCATTCACCTGGAAAAGTGGGTGGAGGAAAGGCAAAGACTTGTCTGACTATCAGCATCACGGAAAGCCACCTGCCCACCAGCGTAATCCACAGCCCCCTCGATGCAAGGCAGAGTGTGGTTGTGGGGCAGAGACATGGGGCTGGGCCAGGTGAGAGCCTGAAGCTGCCCCAGCACTGCCCCACAGCCCAAACCCAGGCCCCTTCGGGGCTGAGACCGAAGCAGCCCTTATGGGACACCAATTCCCAAGCCACTCCCAGTGCCCAGTCAGGACCCAGACAAACCTTCATGGCCCAGCAAGGACAGTCCCCCACAAAGTCCTGCTGACCCAAAACACAGGAAAGACTCAGAACACCATTTCTGAGGGCAGAGGAGCTGGGGGTGATTCCCGGTGGCCTGCAGTCCGGACATCCAATGACACCAGGATTTGGGGGTGAGCTGTGGCTGGATCCAGGGTCATGGCTGCTGACAGGGAGAGGAATGTTCATGAGCCTCTATGCATTGGAATATCACCTCCAAAACTGCACCAGAGCATCAGCTCCAGGCACTGAACCCAAATGGGGGTTCAGTAAGTCCCTGAAGCAAGACTCACCTCTCTGGTATCCCTCTGAGTCTTCCTCCAGAGAGCACTCCAAGATGTCTGGAAATAGAAGATGACTCTGGATCAGGCCCTGGGCCTTCCCCATACCAACCCTGCTGCACAGAGAAGACAAGACGACCTGAGGTGGGAGGCACAACCTCCTTCATCTGGGGCATCACCTCTCTCTACACACAATTAGCATCCTAATTTGGGTGCTAATTAAGCATCAACAGCATTCTGCATCTCCCACCTTCAGTCTTCTATCACTTAAGGCTAATCACTAATAAATCCCTGATTTTCTTTTAAATAAATGAGCATCTGTGATGCTTTCACTTTCCAGCCAAATCTGCCTTCCCATTTTTGCTTAATAAATAACCTTTTCTGCCAATTTTTACCTCCAGGCACCTTTAAATTGTGTCACTGCCTCTGCCAGCATGTTGGTTTTTCCAGTGAAATCCTCAAGATGTTTCCAGCTCTGACATCAACAGCAGTGATGGTTGTACGTTCCTCTTTGTGCACCTCGAGGGGAGTAAATTGGGTGTTTAATACCAAATATCCTTTCCCCATTGCTAGAAAACCACTGGGACATCTTTACTTCCGTGGGCAAGGCTCTCACTCCAGCAGGAGTGAGATTCCCCCATCATCACCAAGTTTTGGATTAACCATCAACCCCTTCCAGCTCCAAAGCAAAAATCCCAGAGGAAAAGAACACAGGGGAAGAAGAAGAAAGAAGAAGACAAAAGAAGAAAGAAGAAAGAAGAAAGAAGAAGGCAATGATGATGAAGAAGATGAAGATGACGATGAAGTTGAAGATGAAGATAAAGATGAAGGCCAAAACTGGTGCTCCTGATGATGTTTTTTGGCTCTAATGCCTGTTCAACGTGGTTCAGACATCCTGGAGAGGAAGGAAGAAAGATGCTTTCATGTGAATAAAAGCCAAAAAGGCGGGCAGCAGATTCTGGGGCCAAGTTTTGTCTCACCCATAGCAGGTTGCCATCTGGTTGCTGGCACTTGGCCTGGAGCCCTGCATGGCCTTGCTGGATCCATGACATCTCAGCACCTTCACCATGCTGCTGTTCCTCCAACCGCCAGCACAGGCGATGGAACCGGGAATGAAACTGTGATTCCTGGTCACTCAGCACCCAGTAGAGCCCCTTCAGCATCACCCGCAGCTTCTGCTTGTCAGCACCCACTCGAGTTTGGAGGATGAAGGAGAAGGAGGAGGATGCTGGAGGGAGAATGAAGCAGTGTGGCCCCCATGGAGCACCCAGATGGCAGCACCACCCACCAGCATCTTCTGTCTTGTCTCCTTTGCTGCCTCAGTCAGCCCAGCATGTGGCTTGTCCTCCTCTTGCAGGGTTTTTAGGGAAGCTTCAAACTGCTTCTGCAGGGAAAAGGGGTTTATACTCCTGGAGAAGGGAAGAAAAGAAGGAGATGGGGCTGGAACCCCTGAAGTACCAGGGATATGGCCAGCGCAGATGGCCCCATCCTCACCCTCCTCTGTAGCTGCACTGAAGCAGATATGTACCTGCATATCCATGTTATAATTAACTTCATAGTTATGCTGCATGCACACCCTCACCTTATCCATACAGTTATGTAAACACACAGTGATACCTGGGCACTACAAGTCTCCCAGATAGGCTGGGATATCCCATCTCTCCAAGGTCTCCTGTAAAAAAGGTGCCATGAGATCTTTAAAAATTCTGATCACCCTTCCCTTGCACCTACAGCCAGGTCCAAGCCCCCTTTGGGGATCCCCATTTCCCCTCCGTGCCCGGAAGTGGAATAGGAACCCTCCACAGCACAGGTGCCAGGTGACAGCAAGAGTTTGAAATCTCCAATATTTAGTTTTGGTCCCAGAACTACCACCTGCTATACTGTTTCATACTTAACCCTCACCAAACTGCAGCATTTCAGCTCAGTTTTGGCTTCTAGATGCTCGCATTGCTTTTTTCCCCCTAGCAAGACAGGGAAAAGCTTTGCCTCTGCTCAAAATACATATTCTGGGGGCTGAGTTTTACGGGAAATTAGCATCGTTCAGGCAGGGTGTATCTGAGACTGGGATCCGCTCACCCTGTGGCAGCGAGCGGCCTCTTGGAGCAGCACGGTGGGGTGGGAGCGATGCTCGGTGCAGGTGGTGCAGACAAGAACTCCATCGTGGTGACAAAGACAGTGAAGGGACGTTGGTGCCTGTGGCACAGATCCTGCGCCAGTAGCGGGACCAGCTCCTGCACGGCTGCCACCACACTGGCCAGCTGCTGGTTGGGGCGGAAGCCACTGATGCCTTGTGAAGGCTGACCTAGAACAGAGGCTAGATGGAGTTAAAGAATAAAGTAGGTATTTATTAAAAGGCCTCAAAGGGTACACCTTGGGCAGCACAAGAACCCAGCCAAGACTACATCCAAGATGAACCCAAAATAGTCACAAAATGGACGACCAATCACGAGATGTCTCACTTTTTTAAGTTCTGGTCCATTAGCAGAAGATATTTATTGGAGATAATTGTCCAATTACAGCTTTATGTTTGGAAGTCCAACCCTTCTTGTTTTCCTCGCTTTGGTCCACCCTTGTTAATGCTCTTGGGTCTGAGATTTGGATTGGTTATCCTTGGTCCCCAGCTAGAGAAGGAATAGCTTCGTCCACCTACTCTGTGAAGAGAGCTTACTGTCCCTTAATATGAAGCTCAGAACTACACACTAAAGCAGTACAGAACCCGAAAAATATAAAAGCTAAAACCTGAGGCATCACCTGCGTGCGGGAACGGCACCCGGCACTGCGGGCACGGAGCGCCGCCCGCTGCGCACCGCGACAGGCAGCGCCGGCAGAAAGTGTGTCCGCAGCTCAGGATCATGACAGGATCTTGGAAGAAATCCAAGCAGACAGCGCAGGTGGTTTCCTCTGATGGCGTCTCCCGCGGCCATGGCTGTTTACGGGGAGGCGCGCACGGGAAGAGGCCTGGCCGGGCTGTTCCTGGAGGCGGCGGCGGGCCGGGACGCTTGGAAGCAAAGGCATCCCGGGCGGGTCCGACATTCCCACCGCCTCAGTCAGGGAACAGCCCCTCGGGCCAGCGCCAGCGGGGATTTACGGACAGAAGGGAGTGCAGGCAGCGGCAGCTGGGGCCGAGGAGGGACGAGTTATTTACTAGGCGAATTCTCACCCCTCCGGCTGCACCGGGGGAAGCAGAGCGAGGCCAGAAGGGGGCTCCAGGAGACAAGGATTAAAGCAGGAATGTGGCAAGAGAGCAGAGTTCCCTGGAGCTCATGTGCATACCAGCTTGGAGCAGGAGGGTTAAAGTGAAATAAAAACCCACCGTTGTGCGTATTTTAACTATAATAACATTAACGGAGTTTCAACATACTATATTTCATTTTTATGTAAGACATACATGCGCTTAAGTATAGTTGCAAATTTTATTACAGAGCTATAAAAATAATAAACACATAATGTTTAAAATACTAATCAGGAATTATAGGTATGAATAAGGCAGATAAAACAATAAAGGAAGTTCGATGTTCCCAAACAGTTGTAAAATCCGCTCTGCCCCAAAACTGAGCAGCTTTGGCTTTTTCACGCAAAAAAAAAAAAAAAAAAAAAAAAAAAAAAAAAAAAAAAGGAGAAATTATGCGCACTGGACATCGCGCATGGAAAACTCCTCATTGTTTGGTCTCGGTCAGAGGCGCTTTGCGGTCCCGCCACTGACTCCTCGAGGTGTGGAGCGGGACAGGACGGGACTGGGAAACCGAACCCAAACAAACCCAAAGTTTGATGCCTCGGGGCAAAGAATGAAAAAAGAAAGGGACCATTAACAGCAGACCAACCTAATGCTTAATTAATTCTTAGTTATTTCAGGCACTTATTGTTCTTTTCGAAGGAGAATCTCAGCCTACATAAGGATTCTGCAGCAGCAAGAGAAGTCAGGGCTATGCTAGGTATAAATATTTTCCCAACAATTTTCTCCCCGCTGTGAGGTGGCGGTGAAGGGGCTACATGAAGGGAGCGGGCGAGGCGAGGCGAGGCGGCGAAGAAAAGCTGCCGCAGTGTGGCTGCTGCCTTGGGTGGCCGTGGCGGCGCGGTGGGAGCTGACCCTCGGGGTGGCCGCTGCCCCGCGTCCCTAAGAGCTGCGCCGCGGGACGGGCGAGGCGGCGACACCGGAGCCGAACCGAGCCGTGCCGGAGTCACCGGAAAAGCCGCCCCGAGGGCGAGACGGCGCTGCGAGAGGCGCACCGAGCGGGTGGTGCGGTGTGAGCCGTCCTGGTAGCTGCCCAGGCTGGCCACGGCCCCCAGTCGCTAGAAGCTGTGCCGGGAGGTGACTGTCGCCTCTGCTAAGTGTCGCCAAAAGGGCTCAACTGATAGGGGGGCGAGATGTGAATGGAATGTATAGAGCAGAATAAAACAAATAGAATTAAAGAGCCGGAGCAGGGGATGGCCACTGAGAGCTGCACCGCGGGACGGGACAGGCGCGGTCCCGCGGGGAGTCGCCGCTTATCGTGCGAGGGCAGCCGAGTGACGACAGCCAGAGCCGCGGCAGCCGCTTCCAGCGGCGGGGAGGAGCGGGACGTGCTGTTCTCAGTCAAGGCCCTATAGTTTAGGTCCGCCAGTCCGCACCCGAGAACCGGGACCGTGTATCCTCGCCTGCCTGCTCCCTTCTCCCTGGCCAGCGGAACCAAGAAATACCTTAAAATCTAGCCTATGCATACATGCACACACACGCACGCCCAAAAGGAAAATCGAGGTTAGGGTGTTTTTTTTGTTTGTTTTTGGGGTTGTTTTTTTCTTTTTTTTTTTCTTCATTACCTACATGGTGAGCAGCAACACAAGATTGGTTACTAATTAAAGCAGCTGGGAGAGGAGCTTATCATAAAACCATCTGTCTCCCTAGGAGTATGGGCAGCACCTAGGATGAGGATGCACAGGTCCATCTACTGTGTCCACATCCTGCATCTCCTGGCAATGACCCCCTGGCAGCTACTAGCCAGCTCCTGCTCGTCCTCCTCCTCATCTATAGCACATTTTTGCTCTCTGCCAAAAGCTGTGGGAGAGGAGTCGTGCCAGTCTCCAGCGTCATCATTGCTGTGGGGAGACCCATGGGGGGATCCATGTCTGGGAGGAGGGAAGAAGGTGGGGAGCGAGCAGGCGCAGAGCGTGCTGCTGCTCTTCCCTTGGACAAGCTCCTCTTCCTCCTGAAATGCCTCTTGAGTTTTCCCCAGATAATTAAATTATCCCAAAATGAATTCCTCCCAAAATAACTCTGAATTCCTCCCCCCATTATAGGCAAATATATGAATTATCTGAATACATCTGAATATCTGAATATATCTGAATATCTGAATTATCCCAAATACCTCTGGATTCCTCCCCAAAGCCTCCAAATTCTCCTGAAATACCTCTGAATTCTCCTAAAATATCCAATTTTTACCCAAATACCTCTGAACTTCTCCAGGGCCTCCCACAGAACATTGCTTTGGTGGCAGGCTCTTCTTCAGCTCCTTGGGGAGCCCCGAGGGGAGGTGGAGCCTCATTTCACTCAAGCTGGGAAAAGAAATTACAGGGACAGGTGTTATGTGATGGATGTAGCAGCCAAGCACCTCTCCGCAGCTGGATGTGAAGCAAACAGTTGCCACATACTTGCTTTGGATGCTCCCAACATCCCAAAAGGAAAAAGGGAGAAAAAAGGGAGTTCAAGACCCCATAGGCAGCGCTTTGGGACAGCTTTTGGGTAAGAATGGCACTCATATGGGCCTGGCCTCCAGCTGCCCGATGAGTCTGTGGAGCTGTGCAGCCCCCTCGGCCACCCGCAATGATTTTTCAGCGTGGGTAGCTGCGAAGGTGTCATCCAGCCCAGCAGCTGCCACAGCTCCTGCTCTGCAGCTGCTCAAACTCCACCTCAATGCAGCGCCACTCAGCTTCACTCATCTCCTGGAGGAGACAAGAAATCCATATGCAACCCCCAGACCTGAATTTTCCCCTTTTGAGTTAAAGGGCAGAAGTGCTTCTGCTGTAGCCATGGTGGCTGTAACGCTGGGGCGGGGCTGGGGATGCAGCTAATTAGGGACTGCACAGTAATTACATACTTCACCCGATGGTTCTCCTTTTCTCTTCCCCATTGCCATTCCTTTCTATATTCTGTCCAAAACCAATCCAGGCCCTGAGAAGCAGGGGGGAGTGTTAATTCCATGTTAACAAATGTCCCTTTATTACTCAGTCTGGGATGAAAATGAGCAGCACCATGACATTGATTTAATAAGCAGGATAATAAGTGGATAATAAGCAGCTGTACATGGAGGTGGTGCTTGCCAAACCTGCCCAGGATCTGCACCAACCACTCCAACTGGATGTAGGGCTTTGCAGGGCCCCAGGATGCTTCTTGGACACATGTTTCTTGATCCCATGTGTTTCTTCAAGAGGGGCTTGGGGAAAAGTAAATGCCCAAAGGCTCATTCAGACTGCTGAAGAACAGAGGGGACCGCCTGTACCAGGTAGTTGTGGTGTCTCTTCTCTTCACTCGTGCTCCAGTCCAGAAACTCTGCCAACACCTTCCTTAGGGATTGCAGGTGAGACTGGATTTTCTCCTAAATGCACACAAAAAAACAAAAAACAAACAAACAAACAAACAAAATCCCCAAAAAAAAAACCAACAACAACAAAAAAAACCCACCAAAACCAAATACAACAGCAACAACAAAACAACCCACACGTGAAGCAATCAGCTTGTTTGTATAATCCTGCTTACATTATTGGGGGAAGGAAAGCAAATAATCCCCCTCAAAAAGCCCCCTCACTGCCTTCCCTGGAAAGCAGGGATCAACTCACTTTATGTTTTTCCCACAACTAGAAGCAGGCACTAGAGCTTTGCTTTCCCACGAAGAAATTAAAATATTTTCACTTTGCACCTTTTTCTCATGGGGAGGGAACGGGGGAAGGCCTGATAGTCATAGGAAGGTGATCTCACCTCACAGGTCTCATCCGGTCCTCCAAAAGTCTTCATGACCACAGCCTATCATGGCTCACCCATTGCCTCCTGAGGGGATTTTGTCTCTTCAACACCAAGAGATGAAGCTCTGACCAGTGTCAGCACAGGGGTTTTGTGTGGATGCTGTGGCCATGCTGCCCTCCTGACAAGGAGAAAGGAGTGCTAGGGGTTGGCTGTGGCACAGGGTGAAGCTGCCTGTCCTTGAACTGCCCCTTGGTGTTCCTGTGCTCAGTTCCCAGCACAAGCTGCCCCAGTTGGAAAAGCAAATGTCATCACCCACAACAAATTTTATATCCACAAGGTTGTCTTATTTCTAGGCATTGCTGTCACATTCCTCACCTGGAAGCTGCTCCCAGCTTTGCCTTGTTCCCCTCCATCATGTGTAAGGGGGCAGAGTCCGATTTGGGGAACTAGGGGGCAAAATTTAACCGCTTTCTCCCTTGTGGTGCCATGCAATAACAGGGTTTTTTGCAGTGCTTTAATTTTCCTCCCTTCCCTCCCCAGTGCCTGTGTTGAGAAAATAAATGGTCCTGAAATGGGGGAAAAAAGGGGCAATCAGATGGTGCAGGTGTCCAAGCACGTCATGGCCCCATCTGCAGGCGAGAGATTGGAGGGCTCCTCCCTTCTTTTCTGATAAAAGCTGGCAGAGGCTGAGACAGGACTGAGCTTTGGCTGAGCCTGTGCCAGAGAGAGGAAGAAATAAATCCCAAGCGGAAAAAACGCAGTGGAGAAGCAGCCAGTGGAAGAAAACCATCTGGAGGAACCCCAAAACAGCACCAGCGACAGCAAGGAAAACACCAAGAAGGTCTCAGTAAGGGCGAAAATCCCAGTGCTGATATGGGGGTTACATCACCCTGATGTCGGGGTGGGGGGTGGGGGGGGGAGAAGGGGATTTTGAGCCCCCTCCCCATCCCATGAACTCAGGAAGGGAAGTGATTTACCCTTGCTTTGGTCTCAGGATCTTTGTTTTGGAATTAAAGGTATTTTGCAGTGAAGGGTCATGATGAATATTTACTTCTCTTCTACCTGTAACAATCCAGCCAGGGAATTTGGGTGAGAAACAGCATAGCTCCTGATTTTATCTCCATTTGGGTGATTTTCTTACCTTTTTCTCACTTTTACTCACAACCCTGCTGCTTTAATCCCCTTATCTGCAGATTTGCTGAGGAAAACACATGGAAAAGAAGCAACCTGTTTGTTTTCAACTGTCACAGCATGGTTTATTCAGTCATTTTGGGGCTTTATTACTCATGCCCTTGTTTGCATGCAAAACCCCACACTGACTTCCAGAGGATGAATTTGAAGCCATCTGGTGCCAGCTCATATCTCCCCCATACACATTTTCTCCAAGGTCAATAGCAAACTTCTTCCCCTCTCACAAGATTTCTCTGGATGTGAGAGGTGAATGTGGCTTATCTCAATTTTAGGGACTTTACTTACTCAAATAAACTTTGTCAGATTTGATTGATGTGGAGGCAGAGATGGATTTAAGATGGATAGATTCAGCCATCAGCCAGCACGAGGAATGGAGATTTGGGGAATATCTACAATGGAGATGGGTTCATCCCAATGTGCTGCTCATGTTCCCTTCATAGTCATTAGGGAATTAATTGATTTAACCCACCTCCAAAATGAACCAAGCTCCGTTGAAGAAAAAGAATGCTATTTTCTTGAAGTACTTTGATTAAATATGGTGGTTAAACACATTTTTTATGTAGAAAGGGGCAGAAGCTGAGATATGACTGTTTGGAGAATAATAACTGGATTTTATCCTTTCTTTCCTTGTTCTGTGCCTCCAGTCAGGAAGAGAGAACTCTGAGGGTGCAATGGCTTTCTTCCTCAAACCACGGCCATGCACGTGGGACCTTGCCCTGGACTACCACACCGCCAAACAGTTTGAAGGTAATCAGAGGTGGCTAGAAAGGACCAAAGTACCTGTTTCTTGTGTTTTCTGGACTGAGAGGTTCAATGGAGTTGGAGATTCTCCAGCTCCACCTTCTGTCTCCCTAGGGCCTCTGTCTCCAACCTCCATCTCTTTGTTTTTCCATCTCCAGCCTCAAATGGATATATATCCTCCATCTCCAACTTCCACCTCTTCACACTCACATCTCCAACCTCATCTTTCCTCTCCCTTTCTCTTTGAAAAGTCACCAGTGAAGGCATTTTGGGAGTGTGTGTTCTCTAGGCTTAAATTTGACTTCTGATTCATTCTCTGTTTTGCTTTTCAGTGGATGTAACCCTGGATCCAGCCACAGTGGGTCCAGAGGTGATCCTCTCTGAGAACCTCAAAGAAGCCACCTGGGGTAGACCTCGATGCCAGTGGCCTGCGGGTCCAGGCCGGTTCGACACAGACCCGTGCATGCTGGGCAGCAAGGGCTTCACCTCGGGCCGTCACTACTGGGAGGTGGAGGCCAATGGGCGCTTCTGGGCTGTGGGGGTGGCCCGTGAGTCAGTTCAGAGGAAAGGCCGGGTCCTCTTCAAGCCCAACACTGAAATTTGGGGCTTGCAGAAGTATGATGACCTCTGCGTTGCCCTCACAGCTCCATCCAACACCTCTGTCCCAATCCTCAATGGGGAGATTGGGGTCTACCTGGACTACGAGGTGGGACAGGTCTCTTTCTATGCTGTCAGCAGCCGCCAACGCATCTTCACTTTTCCTGTGGCCTCCTTCAGTGGGGAGAGGGTCTTCCCCTACTTTTGTGTGCTCCTCTCAACCATTAAACTGTCCCCCAAGGGCTGATGCCCTGAAAGGATCCTCCCAAAGGCTGGTTGCATCACAGTGGTTGGAAATGCTGGTTGATGCTCCTCAACTCTTATTTTCCAAGTCTCGGAGTAATTTCTAACTCAGTTCATGGTCCTTCCTTCATTTTAGATGTCTCTGTTTTGGGTTATGCCCAGGGGGTTTTGGGTCTAAGCTCAGCATGGCTCTTCTCAAGTTGTTAAATTCATGCAAAGCTTGTTAACAGGAGCTCGACTTCCCTGAGCTTGTTTTGAGCTAAAAACTTTTTTTTTTCCCCTCCCAAATACAGCTTCCTCTGGACATTCCTTTTGCTGACCTCAGAGTCTATGACTGGCTGGCCATCCAGCACAAATTAAAAATCTTGATTTTTGCAAACTTTGTATTAATACCAGCAGCTATTCCTCATATTAAAACTGAATTTCGTTATCACAAGGATATGCTCACATCCACTGCCCCCACTCTTTTCGTCTGCTGTTCCCCATGCTTGAGATGTATTTCCAAGTACTTAGCATGTAAATATGTTCAGGATAGAATAAATTTATTTTTCTCCAAGAAGTAGAAGGCATCTGCATTTGGGCCATCACCAAGTTGCCCCAAACCCAAAAAGAGCCCCAGAGCTGGCCTGCCCACCCCCCTGGATTCTCAAGAACTATCTCATGTGGATCCCCAAAGGCTGCCTTGTCCCAGAAACACCTTGTTGGCCCCTGGAAACCCCAATAACCCCTTGTCCAGGGATTTAAAAATCTTTTTAATATTTTCTTTCATGTCCCTATGGTGCACCAGATATCTGGGAGTGAGAAGGCCTCCCTGCAGCACCCAAGGAGCTGACACAGAGGTTTGGAGGCCGTCTCATCCTGTTGCCCCTGCCTGACCTCTGCAGCTCATGTTTATTACAAATCCAGCTCCTCTCAGTACTGCAGTGGGAGGAGCTGAGCCCATTGTCATCCAGGTATGCACAGAGCCCACCACCACGGATCCAAAACCTGGAAGTACAGAGAACATAACCCATTTCAAATGGAGCAGCAGGAAAAAGGAGAAAAGCCACACATACGTTTTTCTCAGCTTCAGTTCCCAGGCATCCTCATGGGCACCAACATGCCAAAATACATACACATATTCCTTTTATAGGAATAGAACCAATTCAGTATCAATATGCAAACACTGATGCTGATCTATTTCTAATATGAAACCCAAAGCTTTGCAAGAGAGAAACAAACTTAAAATAAAAAATGCAAACTTAGGCTTTTCTCACCAAATGCACCACTCCCATCTTTTAGGTCAAAGGGGAAAACAAATACCAGTTCCAGATGCAATGTTGCCCTTCCCAAACATTGTCCCATTGCTGCCTCTGGAAGTACCTCAAGTACAAGAAGAAATGCACATTTTGCAGCTGAGGAAACACCAACCAACAACATAATAATGAAAAACATGGACTCACAGGTGAGATAGAGGTGAGCGGTTCACCCATTGCCATGGCTGCTGCTCATTCTCCCGCAAAAGGCCAATCCAATGCTCTGAGATGCCTTTGTATCTCATCACAAAACTCTGAAAGAGGGGAAAAGGAAAGATTTTTACCTTCTTCCAACCAAAACTGTCAATTTTACCAGTTGCTTATGCTGATTTAGGGCTTCTTTGGGGCTTGAACATTTCAATCTGCTACGAAAAAGTGTCATCTAGAAACAGGAGTTTATTCCTACAGTCCTTGCAGCAGTTTGCTTTGGTGAGGAATTTGAAGACACCCATGATGACACACCCTCAAGGCCTTTTCCCCAACTTCTCACCCCAGATCTTCAAAAAAGATCTTGAAAGAGCAGTCAAAGAAACCAAAAGGTTTCAAATACAGTGCTTTTGGGTTTTTCCCTCATGCCAAGCAAATCCTCATGTCTCCTTACCAAGTCCTCCGTGCTGTCCAGCATGGCCAAGGAAGCACCAAGTGCTGAGCAGTTGTCATGGCTGGATGTCCAGTTCCCCTCAACCTCAGAAAAATAGTAGCATTTTCCTCTGTACCTGATCCAGTCAAAGGGGCACTGAAAGCAGGGCTGGGCATGAGGCTGAAAAGCTTGCACTGTCATTAAAAATAGAACAACATTAATGAGCAGCACTTTCCCCTTGCCTCTCTGGGGTGGGGAGATCATTCTCCACCCCACAGCTTCCAAAAGTCTTGCATCTGCTTCAACTGTAGGCAAAGAGAAAAATTAAGATACCGGGAGAGATCCTGTGAGAAAATAAGCTCAAATCATGGCCCAGCTTGTGATGTTGGACAAGAAATACAGGTGCTGGTTTCCTTCAAAGAAGGAAACAGGGTGGTAGACTTCAAAAAAACACATTTTAAAGAGCAGTTTCAGAGTAGCCCTATCCCTAAACATGCCCTTGGGTATTGCTCTCTGTCATTAATGCAAAAGTAGTGAAAATGACAAGGAAGAAGTCCTCTTATTCCTGCAGCCTTCTTGACTTGGTGGGACTCATGCCAACATGTCCTGGCCCCTTCTTCTCTGAAAACAATATTTCTGTGTGACCGTATTCCTGAAATGGCTCTTCCTGTTGATTTTCTAAGAGTTTCTCGATGACATCAGCTCCCACACCATGGGGATGGGTTTGTTCTTCTGTACAAAGACCGCTCTGAAACGTTCTTCTCCCAGAGAGAACAGCAGCTTGGGTGGGCTTTGTCTTCCGAAGGAACATGGAAATAAATCTGTCACAAACACAACGACCCAAAATATCTCAGAGAGGTTACCTGTGAGACAAAAACTTCAACATTCACCTGCAAAAGCGATGGCTGTGATGAACAGAGCTGTGAAAAGCACTGCCAGCATCACCTGGCAGGCGACACGTGCCTCCGGCTTCATCTCCATGCTGTGACCTGCAGGAGAACAGACCTTCAGTGCCTCTGCGAGGGCTCCCAGGGCAGCAACACGCTACAGGCCATGCCAAGATCATCAAGGGTTGGTCTCATGCCAATGCCAGTGAACTTGGTGTCATTTTGGGTGAGAAATACCAAATATTCTTCTTCATGCAGAACAAAATTAGCTATTTTTTATTTATGGGAGCTCTTTGGGGAACAGTTTCCTACCCAGCTCCAGATAAAAACTCATTAATTGTACCATAATTAAAAATTTGCTTTAATTTCTGGGATTTACTTCATTATTAAAGTTCAGTGGAGTTTTTTTCTCCACCTAAACTAAGACACTTTGGGTCATGGTGCCTCCATTTCTGTATCTTGTGATCCAGAATATACACTTTCCCTTCACCATGTGCAAAGAAAATTCTCTTTCCTAGGGCTTTTATACAAAAATCTTAGTGTTTTCATCCAGTAGGACTTCCCCAATTTTTTGTTTAAGATTTTCCTTCTTTATTCCCATCATATGAACCAAATGTCATGTGAAAAACCCTCCTCTCCCCTCTTCTTCCTGGAAAAAATATTATAAAGTAAAAGCTAAAAAAACCCAAAAAAATGTGTTATATTAAAAAAAAAATTAAATCAACAAATGAAAAATCAACAAAAAAATTGAATATTTGTGGGGGCAAAAATATGCCTAAAACAATCAGTTCCTCAGGAGCCTCAGGAAAGGTTAATGCTATATTAGAATAACCCATCATGTCTGAAATTGGTCTGTTTAGAGCAAAAATTCTATCTGCTGAGTGACAAAAATTTTCCCTCAAGGGAAGTGCCAGAAAAAGCTTTTTCCCCACTACAACCTTACTTCAGCTGGGTTTAGTTCTCAAATTACAGAAGTATCAAAATAAAACCCAAACCCAGTGATTCTACAGTTCATTGTCTTACAGTTACCTGCCCGCTTGTTCCTTTCCATGCCCAAAAATCCGGAATAAACTCTTATTTCCTCCATTTTTGGGGTTCCACCTCTACAGGTGCTCTTGCCTCACCTGCCAAGCAAAGTTTCATCTATCAGAGGTGTTACAAAGGCTCTCCATGCTCAATTAAAATTTTCTCACAATTTAGAATTTTCTCCCTGCACCATATTTAAACTTTTCCCCCCACCTGATGTTTTCCCACACAATTAAAATCTTGATCCTGCAATTAAAATTTCCTCTCCCCCCAATTAGTTTTATCTGCCTAATTATACTTTTCTCCCCTCAGTTAAAATTTTCTCCCTGTATGTCAAGTTTTCTCCTCACAATCACACTTTCATCCCAAATTAGTTTTCTCCACCAATTAAAATCTTAAAAATTAAAATTAAAGTCTCCTCAGGTAACATTTTCTCCCTGCAGTTAAAATTTTCTGCAGTAATTAAACTTTCCTCCCTGTAAACTTTTCTCCCCATTAAAGTTTTTCCCCCAATTAACACCTTCTCCCCTCAATTAATACCTTCTTTTCAGTTAATATTTTCTCTCCAATATTAAGGGGTTTCTCCCCTAAATTAAAGTTTTCTCCCCCTATTTAAAATAATCTTCCCCTATTAACATCCCCTTAATTAAAATTTTCTCCCGCAATTAAAAACTTCTCCCTGCAATTGATATTCTCTCTTCCAGTCAAAATTGAAGACCACCTCCCCTCAGCCCCCAGGCCCATCCCAAAACCTGTCACCTGTGTCTGCTCAGTGGGAACAAGCCCAATGCTGAGGCACAACCTGCTCCTGTGAAGAGAAACAAAGTATTTTAAAAAGAATGTTGTTTTGGTTTATTTTATTGTATTCTTAGGGATTTTCCTGTGCCTCCTCAAGGGCAGAGAGGAAGGGGCTGCCTGCCCAGGGCCAGGGCCACCTGCCCACCCACAGAACCAGGGGCTCCCCTCCATTCTACCCAGCAGCACTTCACTTTCTTTTCCAGCATTTCCGGAATTTGTTCTCAGCTAGGGAGATGAATTGTCCAAAATTGCTTTTTTTAGTGTTAAGTTGGAGGAAACACTGCTGGAGATCACTCTGATCCATGATGTCAGGGCAGCCCAGAACAGCGTTCAGGGATTCTACAAGGGAGAAGTACAGTTCCCTTCAGCCTGTTTTATAAGGGTTTTTACTATAAAAATATAAAAAAATAAGTGTTCTTGCAATTAAGCTACCCAGCTGCAGGTTTTACCCTAAGACCTAATTTATTTTGTATTTTTTAGGGTTTTTTTGTAATCACTGGTCACACGCCACTGAAGCAGCTGCCTTTGCAGAGGGCAGGAAGGCTGGCTGATAGCAGCTCACCACAGAAACTTTCTGTGAGGGAAGAAACTAGAAATAAACATGAGACAATAAAAATATAAAAATAAAAAGTACATAAACACAAATTTGAAATAAAAGTATTTTTTACTTTAACTAAAAATTTTAAAATAATTTCAAAATAAAATAACACAGTGCTTTTCCTACTGGGGCCTTTGGATTAATCCTCTTATTTACCCTATTTCTGGCTGCTGGTAGGTATTGGGGCAAATTTCTGCATTTTTCTTGGGTTTTTCGGGGGTTTTTTTGGTGACTGAGGAAAAAAACATAGTT